TCAGAGTCTGAACAACGCGCATACGGTGGAAGGAAAAGTCATCCAGGCAATGTCATCCAATCATCAAATCAACATTTGATACAAAATTGTACTGTGTGAACTCAATAGTCAACATTTGTACTATAAGTTTTCTAAGAACTTGTAGTAGTGTCAAGCTTATTTGTTATTATTTTGTATCTTTCTTTAGAGACTTGCACGCAGGCTGAAGCACGTGGAAAAGGCAAATTGGGGTGCCCAGAAAACTGCAAGAGTGTTCGATGTTATGAGGGCAGGCTACTGTACACGTCCTCAGAAGAAAGCGAGGTCGACGAAACAACAAAAAGGATTATGCGTTACAACGTTCGTAGGCTACCCTGGGAGAGTCCATCTCTATACGAAGGGCAACGAAAAAGTTAGACAGGTTCTCCACACCTTGTCTTTGTCAGAACTGGTACGGAGCAGAATTGTTCCTCGCGAGGATGGACAGCCCTCCATTCGACATAAGCCAAACGACTTCCCGGAGTGGGCAGCTAAGAACGAGGATGATAATGTTGTTGATGAGAGTGCCCAGTCATTATCCCTAGTGGCTCTTCGCTGAATGACTCTATTAATGACATTTTAAATGATCATGACTCTGATTGCTTTAGTTTTCAGTATAGTAAAGACCTACGATATATCACCCAAAGTTTTCCATGTTCTAATGTATCAATAGTGCTTTATATATTTGTTGTGAACCTGCATGGCTTCTTAAACAGGTTCATACAAAGTTCTAAATGGAAATGTTAGACTGAAAGGTTTTTATTCGTGGGTTTTCATTCTGCATGTGATCATTTGATAATCAAATTTATGAGTTTGCGTAATTTACACTGTTTATACGATATGCATTTATTCTGCATGGCAGATTTTTATGTTATTTATATGGTAAATATAAAATTGAAGAAAAAATTATGTGTGCTGAAATTTTGTTTTTGTCTTTGGAGACATTACTTCCTGCCTTGCTATTAAACTCGCCACTGGAGCAGCTTGTTTGCTATTACGTTCAAATCTGGGAAACGCCAGAGAGATCTATGAATGGCATTACTTTTGTTTTATTGATCATCTTACCTGCACGTATAATTTATTAATGAAAATATCTAAAACATGGCTTAACTGTAACTATTATTATTTGACATTTGCATTTGCGATTTCGAATAGTTTGTTTAACCATTAATGTTTAACCATTAACGGTTAAACAATACTATAGGTATTTAAATGGCAAATGGAAACGTCAAATAGACAATACACGTTTCTTTTCTGTTCTTTTCGTACGACATTAAATGTGTTTTAAGGTTAAATAAACATACAAAACACCTTTGCTTAAAGTTGAGTAAAGACATGTACCTTTTCACAGTTTCAACACCACATTAAATGTGATTAAAGGTTAAATAAAGATACAAAACACCTTTTCATAAAGTTGAGTAAAGGCATGTATACAGGTACCTTTTCACAATTTCAACACATATTAAATGTGATTAAAGGTAAAATAAAGATTCAAAACACCTTTGCTTAAAGTTGAGTAAAGACATGCACCTTTTTACAATTTCAACACCACATTAAATGTGATTAAAGATGTAAAATACCAGAGCAGAAAAGCTTTGCATATATAGCTTCAAGGTACCTTTGCAACTCATTTCTCTTCGCAGTTAAAGACAAGTTAGAAACCTTTAATTCCCTTTAAACAAACTTTTCTCATTCTTTAATAGGTCGTCTTTAATCATCTATAATTATACTAGAAAAATCCTTAATCTGCATGCCGAAAGGAGAGTTTAGGTACATTTACTAAATTTAATCAAACTGATTAAATGTGAATAAAGCCGCCAATAACATCGCTTTACGCCACCTTTAACCATGATGATAGCTACTGATTTCGTCCTGTGCTGACTATTAACGACAATAGTGCTGACTATGAAAGACTATAGTCCTGACTATGAAAGACTATAATGAAGACTATGAAAGACTATAGTCCTGACTATGAAAGACTATAGTCCTGACTATGAAAAACTATAGTAAAGACTATGAAAGACTATAGTAAAGACTATGAAAGACTATAGTAAAGATTATGAAAGACTATAGTAAAGACTACGAAAGACTATAGTCCTGACTATGAAAGACTATAGTAAAGACTATGAAAGACTATTATCCTGACTATGAAAGACTATAGTCCTGACTATGAAAGACTATAGTAAAGACTATGAAAGACTATAGTAAAAACTATGAAAGACTATAATCCTGACTATGAAAGACTATAGTCCTGACTATGAAAAACTATAGTAAAGACTATGAAAGACTATAGTAAAGACTATGAAAGACTATAGTAAAGATTATGAAAGACTATAGTAAAGACTACGAAAGACTATAGTCCTGACTATGAAAGACTATAGTAAAGACTATGAAAGACTATTATCCTGACTATGAAAGACTATAGTCCTGACTATGAAAGACTATAGTAAAGACTATGAAAGACTATAGTAAAAACTATGAAAGACTATAATCCTGACTATGAAAGACTATAGTCCTGACTATGAAAAGACTATAATAAAGCCTATGAAAGACTATAGTCCTGTCTATTAACGACAATAGTGCTGACTATGAAAGATTATAGTAAAGCCCTATAAAGACAATAGTATAGCAGTGTAATCCAGACTATGAAAAACTATAGTCCTGACTATGAAAGATTATAGTGAAGACTATGAAAGACTATAATCCTGACTATGAAAGACTTTTGTCCTGACTATGAAAGGCTATAGTAAAGACTATGAAAGACTACAGTCCTGACTATGAAAGACTACCGTAAAGACTATGAAAGACTATAGTAAAGACTATGAAAGACTAGTAAAGACTATGAAAGACTATAGTAAAGACTATGAAAGACTATAATCCTGACTATGAAAGACTATAGTCCTGACTAAGAAAGCTTGGAAGACCATAAACAATTTATTGGGAAGGCAAAACAACCAACAATTGTAAATGAACTAAAACTTGGTGAAAATAGTTTAACTAACCCTAAAGATATTGCAGAGGGTTTTAATGATTATTTTTCAAATATTGGCCCAAATTTAGCTAGCCAAATTAATACTTCAAATTTGAACTTTGAAACATTTGTCAAAAATACTGAATCAGAATTCACCGCATTCCAACCTGTCACGGTCAATCACGTCTACCATCTTCTGACTGGTCTCTCAAGCAACAAAGCCACTGGTGTCGACAAAATTTCTTGCAAAATTATTAAGATTGCTTCACCTGCTATTTCAGATTCACTAACACATATTTTTAATCAGGCCATTACTCTGTCCTCATTCCCAGATGAATGGAAAATGGCTAGAGTAATACCTCTATACAAAAATGGCCAACGTAATGTGGCAGGAAATTACAGACCAATTTCTGTCCCGCCAGCCATTAGCAAAATTATGGAAAAAAATTCTGTATAATCAACTGTACAGTTACTTATCCAAATTTAGACTTTTTAGTGATAGCCAATTTGGTTTTCGAAAATTTCATTCTACGGCGACTGCATTATTAGATTGTAAAAATGACTGGTATGTGAATTTAGACAGAAAAATGTTTAACCTGGTTGTCCTAATTGACTTAAAAAAGCATTTGATACAGTCTACCATCAAATTTTATTGAGAAAATTGGAGCTGTATGGAATAAAAGGCCAGGCACTATTTTTTCTCAATTCATATCTCTCAAATCGAAGTCAGAAATGCCAAATAAATGGATTTTTGTCATCGGAGAAAGTGATTAGATGTGGTGTGCCACAAGGCTCTATTTTAGGACCATTATTCTTTTTATTGTACATCAATGATTTGCCACAATGTCTATCAAAAACAAAACGTCGGTTATTTGCTGATGACACAAACCTGACAGCTTCTGGCGACTCGATAACTCGTCTTGAAGCTGCAGTGAATTCTGATTTAGAAAACCTAAAAAAAATGGCTAATTGCCAATAAACTTAGCCTGAATGTTGCAAAAACTGAATTTATGTTAATTGGCTCAAAACAAATGATTAAAAGCGTTTCCAATTTGCAGCCAAATGTGGTAATTGAAAACAAACAGATTAAACAAGTGCATGAGTGCAAAACTCTTGGTGTGACAGTCGACCAGCATTTGTCGTGGAAAAGTAACACTGAAAATATTTGCAGGAAAATAACATCAGGAATTTCTGCTCTTAGACGTTCAAAGGATTTTGTTGACAGGCAAACGCTTCTTTCTGTTTATAATGCTATTGTTCACCCGTACTTCGATTACTGCTGTGAAGTACGGGATGTGTTCGGTGAAACCATAGTTAATGGAGGAGATGGTTTGGAAACTCGTTAGCATTACAATAAAATCACAATAAACCTCATTATCTATGTTGTTCAAGTTTGTGCAAAAAATGTGGCCTTTCATCGTCACGTGCGTATTGTATTTTTCTCAAGTCGACCAATAGGAATGTTCAAAATGTCCTATTGTTAAAGTCATGGATGGGCAATTGGACAAAACCGTTGCTATTGGCTGGTTGAGCAAAAATACAATACGCACGTGACGATGAAAGACCACATTTTTGCATAAACCTGAACAAAAACATAGATAATGAGGTTTATTGTAATGCTATTGAGTTTCCAAACCATCTCCTCAATTAACTATGGTGAAACGCAATCAAAACGACTTCAAAAACTCCAAAATAGAGCTGCTCGAATTATCATGAATATGAGCAATGACACAGATCATTCTGTAGCATTGCAAGCATTGGGCTGGAAGACACTTAAAGGAGAAAGGAAGAAAGCCAAGGCAAAAATGATGTATAAATTATTAAATAACATGGGCCCTCAATCACTCACTAACTTATTCACTTATAAAAGTGAGATGACTAGCTACAATCTTCGAAACGTTTCAAGTACTCTTTGTTTACCGCAACCGCGGACTAATAATTTGAAAAAAAGTTTTATGTACGATGGATCATTCCTTTGGAATTCTATTCCAAAGGAAATTAAAGAGAGCAAATCCCTTTCTTCTTTTCGGACGAAAATCGCTGCTCACATTGATAATTAAAGCAAATATATGCATCTGTAAATACATTATTATCTCATATACTTAATATATTTTATACTATGGTTTCTATTTTGTAAATAGCTTTTAAATACTTTTCATATTTGCTGTATACTTCTTGTTCACACGCCCCTCGTGGAAATCAGCTGTAGTTGACGAGGTTAGCGTGGTTAAGTAAATCTATCTATCTATCTATCTATCTAGACTATAGTAAAGATTATGAAAGACTATAGTAAAGACTATGAAAGACTATAATCCTGCCTATGAAAGACTATAGTCCTGACTATGAAAGACTGTAGTAAAGACTATGAAAGACTATAGTAAAGACTATGAAAGACTATAATCCTGACTATGAAAGACTATGGTCCTGACTATGAAAGACTATAGTAAAGACTATGAAAGACTATAGTAAAGACTATGAAAGACTATAATCCTGACTATGAAAGACTATAGTCCTGACTATGAAAAACTATAGTAAAGACTATGAAAGACTATAGTCCTGTCTATTAACGACAATAGTGCTGACTATGA